CGTGTAGAACCACCCACCAGGACAATATCGTGGATCTGAGACTTGTCAAGCTTGGCATCCCGAAGGGCTTTCTCTACAGGGTCCAGGGTGCCACGAAACAGGTCAGCATTCAACTCTTCAAACCGGGCACGAGTAATAGAGGTATAAAAGTCAATTCCTTCATATAGTGAATCAATCTCAATACTGGCCTGGGTGCTGGAAGAAAGTGTGCGCTTGGCGCGCTCACAAGCAGTACGGAGGCGACGGACTGCCCTCTTGTTCTCGCTGATGTCCTTCTTATGTTTGCGCTTGAACTCTGCAATAAAATGGTTTACCATTCGGTTGTCAAAGTCTTCTCCCCCTAAGTGGGTGTCTCCAGCTGTAGATTTGACCTCAAAGATCCCATCTTCAATAGTGAGGATTGACACATCAAAAGTGCCACCTCCCAAGTCAAAAATCAGCACATTCCTTTCAGCTCCAACCTTTTTGTCTAAGCCATAAGCGATAGCAGCAGCAGTTGGCTCGTTGATAATCCTAAGCACATTAAGACCAGCAATAGTTCCAGCATCTTTGGTAGCCTGACGCTGAGAGTCATTAAAATAGGCAGGTACTGTGACTACAGCATTGGTAACAGTCTTGCCAAGGTAAGCTTCTGCAATTTCCTTCATCTTTGTCAAGACCATAGAAGACACCTCCTCTGGATAGAAACTTTTGGTCTCTCCCTTGTATTCTACTTGGACCTTGGGCCTGCCAGCATCATTCACCACCATGAAAGGCCAATGCTTCATATCAGATTGGACAACAGCATCGTCGAATCTGCGTCCAATCAGGCGTTTGGCATCTGTAAAAGTTTATCTGGTCAAGTGCTGCATTTCATCTACCCAGTAAGAACCCTAGTTCACCATTATTCAAATTCTATCAGATCTAGCAACCAAACTCCAGATTTGTTAAATGGACCCATTTTCCAAAACACAATTGTTCAAATTTCTTAGAGATGTAGAACAAAATTAGCAAGTAAATTTTTTAAAAAGCCGTTTCTACTTTCAGAGCTTTCATGGCTGCCTTACATTTGTAAACTTTTCTCAAACGCCCGGTCTACGCCACTTAAAACTTGAGTGTTACTTAAAATTAACGGCTTACCGAAAACTGTGTTGGTGGGATTCATTGCAACTTGATTCTTTGCAGCATCACCGATCAATCGTTCGGTGTCAGTAAAGGCGACATAACTTGGGGTGGTCCGGTTTCCCTGATCGTTGGCAATTATTTCCACCTTCCCGTGCTGGAAAACTCCCACACAGGAGTAGGTGGTGCCAAGATCGATGCCAACTGCAGGTCCCTTAGACATAGTTGCTACAAGGGAAAAACAGCCCACTGTTTGAGAAAACAAAACCCCCAACACCTGGAATCAAGCAATCAGGTAGAAGCACTTCCTCCTCCTCCCCCACCACACTGCCCGTGTCGGAGGAAACCACGCGGCAGGACCAGAGCGATAAATGCTGCAGTCGGGGTTGCCGTGCCAACCGCGGCGGGAGTTCGGGCGTGAATCAAACACCGACCCAAAGGGTCTACGACAGTGCAGAGGACGTGGTCTCGACCCAGGACGCCACCTTTTCACCCCCCTCATCCGCCGCCACCCGTGTTCCGTAGCCAACACAATACGGGCCGCGTGGCGTGCTCGGAAACCCCTCCCCCACGTCAGGCCCCTGCCAAAAGCGACAACTTCCTCTCTGAAGGACCTAGGGTGGGTCGGCTGCAAGGCTAGCGGATGCGACCGCCGCCCAGCCCTCCGCGCAAGGACACCACCCTGACGCCGCGGCGGCCACCACGGCCTGCTGCACCCGCGCCCCCGCCTCCCTGGGAAGAGTACGCCCAGGCCGGGCAGGGGCCCGGGGGACCACCCACCTACAAGAAATGCTCAAGCCTCCGGGTTGCCCCGACCCCGATCCGCTCGGCGGCGGGCTACAGGTTCCCGAAAAACCTACCAAAAGCTCGGAAAACGAAAGCCTTACCTTTTGGGTGGGCCCGGCCCGGCTGGGGAAGAAATCAGCTACTGGGAAAGCTAGCGCCGCGTTCAATGAGACCGGCTTCCGTACGCCACCCTGTCTCTTATACCCTGCCTCAGAACCTTCCAGAAGGGGACCACCCCTGCCGGCTGCCCATCATGGCTTCCTCCACCAATGGGCACGCGGCCACCCCTCCGAGCCCCAATGACTAAGCCGGCTCAACCCTCGGGCCTCGCCCCCTCCCGCCCCCATCCCACCCCACCTCGCGATGACGCACTCACCGCAGCGTTCTGGAACTTTCATTCTCGCCCCCGCTCTCCGAACGGCCCCGGGGAAATGGAGGGTGGAGCCGTGAGAGCCCGCGCGCGGGAGTCCTCAGTCACCCCAGGCGGGGGGAGGGGGGCGAGATTGGGGCATCCGCTTCTGCGCATGCGCCCCCCACTGAGCACCGGCAGGAGAGGACGGAAGGAGGTGGAGGAAGAGGGGCGGGTAAATTTGGAAGCAGCCAATGACAGCAGCACGAGCCGCGATCCGGCTCGACACGCAACCGGGGAAGGATGAGCGCAGGCCTGAAGGGAGGGGTCCGGACCCGGCTGCCGGGAGCGAAGACGGAAGTGGAGCGAGGACAAAATGGCCGCGAAGGTTGTTGCGCCCCTCCCCCCTCTCCCGTCCTCATTCTGTTTTCCCCAACCCCCACTTCGGCGCTGCAGAGGGTCCCCTAGGCCCTCCCGGGTTCCACGTCCGTTCTCGTATCTAGTATGCCTTTGGGCTCCGTCGTCCTTCTAGGAACCGGGAGGAATGTTCCCACCCCTGAGCGCTGCTAGTGTGACTTGCCCAGGGGCACGCGGATCTGGGGCTGGAGGGCGCCGCCTGGCCCCACTTGGGCGCGGGAAGGGACAGTTTAGCCAGGCCAGCCCCCAGAACCCTCCGTCCCCGTGGCAGCTGGAGGCCGACAGCCCTAGAGGCAGAGAGGTTGGAAGGGATCCGGTTTCTCAGAGCCACTAAGGCCGGATGCCGTGCCGGGATCCTCCACCAGACAAATCCGCCGCCCTGAGCCCGGGCGACTCCGCCACTCCCCACCTCCCGCCAGGAACGGGTTCGGCTACTCGGTTCTGCCTCTGCACTTGCCGGAGCCCCGCATTTTTCGGTTATTTGTGAAAAAGGAGACAGAAAAGCTAGCCAGGTTTTTCCGTGTAGGAGAATCCGGCATCAGGAACCCTGGTTCCGGTAGCCCCATGTCTTTGATTTAGACTCTCGGAGCTGCTTTTATTTTCAGTAACATGATGTAATATCTTTCTTGCCTTGACTTACAAAAAACTAAGCGAGAGATCATGCAGAGGCATCTTGAAAACATTACTAATCGAGTCCATGAAACAGTAGTACTTAGAATTAAATTGTGGTGCGTGGTGGCCGGTATTTGGGCTTTGTCATTCTCAGAGCCTTTCTCAGTATCTGGAAATGTTTTTCCATGTGTTCTTTCAGACAGGCAGGGCAGCTGATACTCATATTTGATAGATACATGGGCAGATAGAAGAAAAGTTTTTTTTATAACGTTATCTAACACAGTGGTGCGGCTGGACTAGAAAGGCCTTCCAAACAGTCCCTCCAGAAAGAGTGTCAGTGAGGACACGTTGTCCTTGTCAAAGCCAGATAGATTCCACCGCACGAAGGAGGGACTTTGTTTTCACATGTGCCTTTCCGGGGGCAATGTTGGCTTGAGTCCTTGGAGGTATATACTTAATAAATTCTTCCCACCTCCCCAAATATTAATTTTATGCATTGTGTTTTTACAGCATACAAAGTGTTTTCATTTGTTTTATCATTCGATCATCAAAACAGCTTTCTGAGATATACATCCGGTAGGAGGAGAAAAATGAGGTTCAGAGATGGTATTTGTAGAAGGAATAATGGCTGGCTGGACTCGGACCTAGCTCTTTTGACTCCAGAATCTTTAGTCTGTTTTTTAGTTTACACTATAGTGTCATTTTCTTTCTAGAACACCTATAACTTCAACTCCAGAAAGTGGAAGATGTGTGCTGTGGGAGGCTCCTTTCAATTTTCTTTGGTATCTACAATCTTCCTTTTCCCACTCAACCTATCAAGTACAGTCTCTGAACTATACCCTACATTTCACAGTTTTTAACCTGTGAACTACCTACAACATTTTAACTATTGAATCATTGGAAAATGGACAGAGGGCCAAACCACCTAACAGCAGTGATTGAAGAAAATAGAGTAGATAACCTGTTTCCTAGTCACTCAAAGCACATTGTGAGAACTTGAACTATGCTCTTATTGCATAGAATGATTCAGAGTTTATGGATTTAAAGGTCAATAAGATGAATGTCCTGTCTCCACCTCTTTTAATGCACAAGGTTTCAGACACACTCAGGATGGAAAATTAAAAGTTTGGGGGCATAGGGACTGCAGTGAAGAAGTCTGAGGGCTAGGGTTTCTGACTGGGGAATGGGGTCTTGATTACCATATCTGAGCTTGTCACATGTTCTAAGTGCTTTGTGTGTATCACCTCCTCTGATTCTGTTAAGTTTTTTTCAGGTTCATTTGAATCTCTTCGTGTTTACTTCTTTTGAGATTTATTTGAATCCGCAAGTGTATAGTTCTGTTGGCACCTTGACCTTGGCATAAGACGTTTGCTTAGTAAATATTACTTATTTTGATAAAGTCCTCAAGAGCAGGAATTCTGCCATAACTTGGTATCTCCAGGACTATTTAGCATCTTGCCTTGTGAGAAAATAGTACTTGGTATGTCTGTGACTGAAATCAATAAATAATAGATCATATTCAGACTGAGTTCTTCCATTCTTCTTTTGGCAGCAAGCTAATGAACAAATTTCCAGTGCAGGTTATATAAGCTTCACCTTCTACAGTATCACGTTATTTATTTTTTAATTGCCGATACAGATGCATCTGTAATAAATATTTGGTTTTTGTGATGAAATACAGTCTCAATGACAAGGCAACTGAGAAGTTAAAATATGAACAGTTTAACACCAGAAATGAAGCAAAATTCTTTATCTTTTTGCAAGAGCAATTCGGAATGTATTTTTACACAGTGTAACAGCAAGGGCATCAACTTCGTTATTTTCCAAATTTAAGTTTGGTTTATATATTTTATTGCAATGGTTATTCTCTAAATATTCACATCATTCCATCAGTATCTTCTTCCACAAACAATTTTTCCTTCTACCTTTCAGTTATTATACCATTCTGTTTGTTTCCTACTGAAGGATCAAATGTATTTGACTTGCAATGTTAATGGAATATTGTTTGAAACAAGTAGTGTCTCAAAACTTTATCTTAAGCCCAGAATTTGCCATATCTGAACCCAAAAGCCTGGCTCCCCGAGAAGTACACTATCATTGCTAAAACTTGAACATCTTATCTCAGAATTTTCAGTTCCTTAGAATTTCTCAGATTTTAGGTAGTTACTTGTTTGTGATTTCTTTTTTTTTAAACTTCCACTGTGAATAGATTTCCAAAATAATCTGGATATTCAACTGGTGTTGATCTTTTAATAACTAACGTTTAAATAATCTAAATCTCCACATCATGCAAAGGGGACTGATTTCCTGCTTTCAAAGGCATAGGCAGGAAACCTTAGGTTCAAAGGTAGAAATAATAAGAGCAAATTGCTTGCGATGGTACAGCTACAGCGTCTGTAGTGTACTTGTTTGGCTCAGGTACTCTAGGATTGAGAATTCTCGGAATCACATAGCAGAAGTGATATGTTACCACACTACCAGAAAAATAAAAAAGTAGAATAAGGAACAGAGTTAATATCTTACAATGAGGCGGTGTTAGTATGAGAAGCATTCCAAATGTGCCAGCCTTCTTAAATTAATAGACATTCTTCACATTAGTTCCTCAGTGTCTCTTATCTCCCACCTTTTGTTAAGAGGGAGATAAAACTCAGATTACCATTTTCACCCTGGGATCAACCTCTGTTTCTTAAAGAATCTTAGAAGGAAATGCATTTGCATTATCTGAGGGTTCTATTTTGAGAAACATAGACGTGAAAGACCAGATAAATGGGGCAAAATCTCAGATCCCCCTTTTCTCTTTAAGCATCTGACTCTCATTTTAGAATCATGCTGTCGTCTCCAAATTCAGCATGACTCTTTCTTTCCTGCAACTTGCTGCCCTTTTAATAAATCTTTTGCAATACCAATGGTGCTCTGTTGACTATTGCGCTGGGGTCCTTGCAGAGCTATCTCAGGCCTGCCATTCTTGCCACACGATGAGACTGACAGAATAGTTCGTCTGTTTTGACTACTAGAATAGTCAAAGGGATTAAAAAGGCAAGTTCTTGTATTGGAGGCTGCCAGTTCCTTTTTATTTCTCACACACCTTTTTTCCACGAATCAACTCTTCTGATGGTTACCCTGGTGAATCATTTCTGTTCATTGTTTCCAAGATGGTAACAGTTCAGATGTTAGCTACCCCTGTCCTGCCACCCACTAGTTATCCTCACCATCTCTTCCTTAAATATAATTCCCTTTCCTTCCAGCCCACACCTGGACTTTCTCAGAGGCTAAGCTGGGAAATGACTGAATTTCTCTCTGTGTCAGCCTCTCAGGAGGGAATGGTGATGATGTACTTGCAGTGCCATTAGGGAACGTTGGTAATCCTTGATCTTTTTGATAATTTAAGGCCTAGAATTATCAAAAGTCCCAGGGAGCTCCAAATCTGGTGTAATAGTAAACTTCTTTATACCCCTTCTTGACATGTTACAACACAGTAAGAGAAGCCCGATCTAAGCTCCCTTTCTAGTCTAGGCAGTCTTGAAATTCTGATTTCATATGTTCTCAGAAGAGAATGCAGTGATATGTCAGATGATCTTTCAGCATCTCTGAGAGAGCTCTTTTGCTCCAGAACCCTTCTAAGAACATTGTCAAATGACACACAGTGAATGTTTTCTTGCTCCAGAGCTACCAAGCAAGAAAGTCCTTAGAGACCTCAGGTTTGAGGGAAAGTCCACAATTGTTCCAGTATGTATTTCTGATATCTGTCAGTGACACTCTGAACATGATTAAGATGGAAAGTGTTTCGTAGTCCCTTGTCACACGTTTTGAATTCCTGTCTTAGTTCTCCTACAGTTCACTGTAAGTAGGGAAATTAGTAGTGGATAGAGTGGGAGAAACTCAAATCATTCTGCATCTCCCGTGAGTTCAGCTCCTTACGAAATTAACATCCAAACCTTATGGTAAATGAAATCAGATCAGAAGAAATGTTACTTCCTTTTTTGAAATTTCTCAGAAGTGATATGCCCAGTACATGGTGCAGCTAGGTGTAATATAAGGCTGTGGGTTCCACTTGACTCTGAATAATCACAATAATCCAGTAGGTTTGCAGAAATGCATAGAAAATTTATGAACAACATCTCCTTTCTCCTTGACTATGGTGAATCAAAGTATTGATACAAAACATTTACGGTGAGAAGTTTTAAGTGTATTCAGTTCCCCTTTCCCCAACCTTTTCTACCCCAGGTCCTGGCCAACAAACACACAGACTTGGACCCCTGCTTTTCCCCACTCTGGTCTCAAGGCACCATGAGATGCCTATTTGGAGATGATCAGTTTATATCCCTTTTCTCCTTCGGTGTGTTTTAGAAATAAAGCGCTCATTTCAATCTGTTCCATGCAACACCACCGCTACTTAAATGACCAGTCATCTGGTTCGAGGGGGTTGTGTGGCTGGTGACTGAGCTTCAATGACTAGACGAGTCTTAAGATCCTGACTCCAAGGAAAGCATGGGAGTCAAGACGGTTTGGAAGGCTCTGCTCTGGCTGGGGATCACGCTGGGTGAGGTTCTGCTTTGGTCAAGGTAGCATGGTGAACTTTCTTTGGTTCAGAACCTCTCCCCACTGGCCCCACCAGGCTGTATGCATGGGTGGCCAGCCCCGGCTGGGGTGCTGCTTCAGTCGACAGTGTCCGCTGGCTGCGTGAGGCACTATTTGCTGTGGAGCGAGTGGAGGAAGAGCCAGAGCGTGAGCTCCGAGAGCCTGAGGAAGAGGAGCTGGGTTTCACCAGGCGGGCTTTGGGGGCTTCCGCATCTTCCCTGAAGAGGAAAACACAGCAAGGGGAAACTTTAATACCGGCAAGACTGTGATCCCTTCCGCTATGGTTGCTTCCTTCCTTCTGAGGCTTCCTGATACATTCCTCAAACGGTAAGCTTCACGCTATACCACCGGAAGGCAGCCATTTAGGGGAAGAGGGACTTCCACAGTCGCTGGGACTTAGTGCTTGGCTTAGGCAGATGGATGCTTCATTAGCCCCAAAGTCAACTTTGTTTCTCTGGGAGAGCACACACTTACCACTGAGATTGACTTGGGATTTGTCTACGTGAACCCTTTCATGGCCCATAGGTTGTACCCATTCTTTATTGTAGGCCTTTTATAAGTGGAAGTGAATCAGAAGTAATGTAAAGTTGATCTTTTAATTATCAGTTGAGCATAGTTTCACAATAAAGGCAAAGTAAACCAGACCCTGTCCCTAGGCTGGAACTCCTTAGCTACCAGAATAATCCTTTTAGCAGAGTCATAGTTAAGAGGAAATGGGACATTTATGTTGGCTGCTCACTATGGAGCTGGAAAGGAAGCCCAGTAGAAGGGGTTTGGGAGGAAGGTTTACCGAATTTCATTAGGTCTCTCTTCTTCCTCATATCTCTCTTTGTCTTTCCTTCGGATCAGCAGCCATACCAGGAGGAAAATCAGCAGGGCTCCAGCCACCATGCCTGTCACCGCTCCTGCAATCATGCCGATGCTTTGTACATCTATTTTCTCAGAAACAAAAGCAGAAGTAAAACCAAACATAAGCTAGGAAATATATGAACTTAAAAAAACATGAGCTCTCAGGGCACCTGGCTGGCCTAGTCGGTGGAGCATACAACTCTTGATCTGGGGACTCTTGATCTTGGGATTGTGAGTTTGAGCCCCATATTTGAGGCAGAGTTTACTTAAACCAAAAAATTCCATATGTCCTGGACAGGATGGGTATTTCCACATCTTTCTATGTTTTGGAGTTTCCCATTTACCCTTGGTGTACGATTGTCCTTGATACTGAAAGGTAGCAGAATATACCACCTCTTTGCCATTAGGACTGTTTTAAGCTTATTTTTAAAAAGTAGGCTCCACACTCAGTGTGGGGTTGAACTCATGACCCTGAGACCAAGAGTCAAGCCCTCTGCTCTACTAACTGAGCCAGTCGATGCCCCTTTAATCTCATTATTTTTGAGAAACAGCAGACACAGGAGAAGTTCTAAAAGCAAAGTACAAGTTCCCTTTTTATAAGGGAAATTTACATTTATAAAGGAAATCTCCATTGGGTTTCCTCCTGCATGTAATAAATTTATTTTGGGAGCTGACAGATTCACATGTTTGTAAATATAGTTAGCTACAAGAGTTGAACAGTCATTGCAACTACCGAATTTATTTTCGTGATCACCATGTCCTTCTGGAAATAAAGATTTTTTACCTTGACCTTACTCTTAATTATGATTAAAATTGTTTTATGCTGAACCGCAATGCGAAAATAAGAACAAACCCTTTGGATACTTACACTGTACGGTCACTCGCACCACACAGCTTTCTTTCCCGGCCTCATTGCCTGCTGTGCACTGATAGAGCCCAGAGGAGGACATGGTGAGATTCTGCAGCAGAACGCGTCCAGGGTTATTGTAGTCTACATAAGCAGAAGGAATGACTGTAATCCCTTTAATGACAGGGTCTCTTTATTGTTTACTTCAGCGCATCATTGACCTAAGATTCTCTAGTACAATTTGGTAAGGACAAGAGGATAGATTTTTTGGAATACACAAAGGTGAACGTTCTTCCAAATTATACATCTGCAAGAGTTACAAGACCGTGAACATGTAAGGGATACGAAACACGATAATTTAGATACAGTGGGTACGCAGTACATTTCTTCTGAATTTCTTCTGCCACATTTACGTGTCATTTGAGGAAGGAAAGGATGGTGTTTTTTTTCTGTCCCAGCAGGAGCTCAAAGGGATTTGGCAGTGTATTCAAGGTCACGTGGTGAGTTGCTGACAAACCCAGATTTAGAATTCACAGCTAGAGTACCATTCTGTTGTCTCAGCAGACTGCTGGGAAGATCACTTACCAATCCTGGACCTGGCAGGGAGGCGCTCATCCTCTCCCTCCTTCTCCCTGATTCGCTGCCAGTAATACACGATGGGTTTTGTGCCAGAGGCTGACTCACACTGCAGAGTCACGTCACTTCCTTCTGTCAGCTCTCCTTCCAGCTCACACTTGGGCTTCGATGGTCTCACTGGCAAAAAGAAACAAGCTTCAAAGATCGCCAAACACGACTCCATGGAAGAACTATGTCCTGTTGAGTTGTTTCTCTAGCTGGTCATCTGTCATGGTCAACTTTTGGGTGGGGTTCAGTAGCCTTTTGCTACCTAACCATGCTTTACACTACCCCCAAAAATACACCCCCTCTCCACCCCCTGCACACGCGTGTGCGCGCGCGCACACACACACACTTCTGGCTGCTTCCAGTGGTGCTGTTGTAATTTCCAGAGGCTCCCTCAGAAACCTCCTCATCACTTCACAAAGAGGATACTGTTCTTTAACTGGAAATTTTAGGAGGGACACCTGGGTGGCTGAGTCAGTTAGGCGTCCGGCTTTGGCTCAGGTCATGAACTCACGGTTTGTGGGTTCAAGCCCCGCATCCAGCTCTGTGCTGACAGCTCAGAGCCTAGCTTGCTTTGGATTCTCTCTCTCTCTTTCTCAGAAATAAACATTAAAAATTTTGTTTAAATGTTTAGGAAAGTTGGTCGTGATTTTACTAATACTGAACCAGGGGTAGAAGTCCATTAACTTGAAAGCAATTAAATAGAACTCAATAGCTCTCGCTGTCAGAAACCAGAAATGGGGTTGAATTATATCTGAGAGGTTTTTTTTTTCCCAAAAATTTATTATTTCTAGGAGAGAGAGAGAGAGAGGGAGTCACAGATTCTGAAATAGGCTCCAGGCTCTGAGCTGGCAGTCAGCACAGAGCCCGACGCGGGGCTCGAACCCATGAACCGCGAGACCATGACCTAAGCGAAAGTCGGACGCTTAACCGACTAAGCCACGCAGGCGCCCCATGAGAGGTTTAAGTTAAATACAAGAATACCACTTAAACATTAAAGGATATTTAAATTTTGTAAGGCACCACCACGGAAAATTGCGATCGTTCTTTCTTCTTTTATTACGTCTAAAATATAGAACATAAACTATAGAACATGCACACTTCTTTCCGGGAACTGGACTAGCTGATCTCTGAACGTATAACGCAGGGTATCGAAAAGTTTCAGACCACCATGATGCATTTGGCTATTCCTTACCTAAGACTTTTAAGATGACATGACTCCACACATAGCGCCCTGAATTCTTCACCTTGCAGGTGTACCGGCCCTCGTCACTGGGCTTCAGAGGCTCAATCTGTAAGGAGGCATCTCCAGCCAGGAAATTGGAAGCGAAGGCCACTCTGCCCTTCTGTTCTTCAGTCAAGTTACTGTAGACGTGACGGCTGGAGTAAGTGATCACCTATGGGGCAGACCAAGGTTGTGTCAAACGAGTGGCCCTCAGCCTTCCTCTCTTGCTGATGTCAAGATGAGAAATGAGAATATTCCTAATGGAACAATGCAGTCAGGCTGGGGGCTGGTTCGAAGGGTCTAAGAGACCTCTGTTCTAAAGGAAGTTAAAAGTACATATGATACGTTTCTCGAGGCGTTGCTTCTCCTTTTCTCAAAATATCTGTGTACATTTTAATTACAGAGTAGTAACTGTTTCATTAAGTGCTCAGAACCATTTCATTTTATAGGTAAGGAATTTTAAACTTGAGTTACTTGTTCAATGAAGGTCACATAGCTAAGCCAAGGAAGGAAGGTAAAGCACATTAAGTGTATATAATGGTATCAAGAGTTGGCTGTGAGGAGAACTGGCAGAATGGGATGGGAAGGAGACTTTCTAACTTTTGCATTTCCTACCACCTGCATGTGAACTATTCAAAATACACAACATATGGGGCACCAGCGTGGCTTAGTTGGTTAAGTGTCCAACTTTGGCTCAGGTCATGATCTTGCTGTTTGTGGGTTCGAGCCCCATGTTAGAGCTCCAGCTTGGAACCTGGAGCCTGCTTTGGATTCTGTCTGTCTGTCTCTCTCTCTCTGCCCCTCCCCCACTTGTGCTCTGTGTGTCTCTCTCTCAAAAATAAACATTTTTAAAAACTTTTAAAAATACACAACACTTCTTGTGCTGGGTGTTTTCACATCTAGCTTATTTCTCATACAATTTTTGCAAGTTAAGTAGTCCTTCCCCCACCTTATCTGTGGTTTCACTTTCCATGGTTTCAGTTACCCAAGGTCTGGAAGCCAATGATCTTCCTTCTGACATATTGTCAGAAGGCCAATAGTAGCTAACACTGTATCACAATGCCTGTGTCATTCTCCTTGCCCATCTCATCACAGAGACACTCTGTCATCTCTCATCATCACAAGAAGGATGGGTATGGTACAATAAGATTTTGAGAGGGAGAGAGAAAAACCATGTTCGTATAACTTTTAAATCATTTTATTATTAGTTATTTTATTAATAGTTGTTAATTACTGTGTCTAATTTACAAATTAAATGCTATCATAAGTATGTATGTACAGGAAGAAATATAGTACAGATAAGATTTGGCATTATTCGTGGGTTCAGGCATCCACTGGGGGTTCTGGAACGTATCCGACACAGGTAAGAGGGGGACACTGTAGTCATGATCCTCATTTCACAGACAAGTAGCAGAACTGGGATTTGAACATCACTGTCTAGTTCATTGCCCTTTAGTTCATTGTCCTGGTGTACCTCTCAGCCACTTCCTGTGGCCATCTCCATTCATTTCACTGCTCATTAACTGCTCTTCCAGAAAGTTTGGAAATGAAGGAAGAAAAAAGGACACTATAAAATCAGTCTGTTTTGTTCTTACAAAAATTTAGAGTCCAGGGGCCCCCGGGTGGCTCAGTCAGTTAAATGTCTGACTCTTGATTTCAGCTCAGGTCATACCACAGTTCATGAGTTTGAGCCTCACATTGGGCTCTCTGCTGTCAGCACGGAGCCTGTTTGGGGTCCTCTGCCCACCCCCCCGCCCTACCCCTGGTCACTCTCCCTCTCTCAAAAATAAATAAACTTTCCAAAAAATTCAAAAGTTTAGAGGCCAGCCAAAGGGTTTAGAGGAGTTTAGGAGTCAATGCTTAAAATTCAAGTCTCAGGACTTGAATACTGAGGACTTACTTCATTGTTTGGCTTTCCTTTGGGGGAGTTCACTGCCAATTAGTAAGAGGAAGTCGGGTGGAAAGAAAATTACATCACTTTCTTACATAAAATACATGTGAGCATCATGTCTTTGTTTTTCTAGGCAGGGACACCAAAGTTTAGATCTCTCTACCAAAAAAAAAAAAAGTTTTAGTGAAGTTTCATCTGCCTGCGTTACAGCCTAATTCTTGCATCCTTCCTGGGTTCTTCGTCTCACTCCTGTTAGTCACAAAAAAAACATGCTGATCTAGTCCACCGAGAGTTCAAGCCCTATAACTTCAGCTTTGCCCTTTCTACCACAACAATCATATTCTTAAAGTCATTCAATTTTATTTTTTTTTAAACTTTTTTTTTTAATATTTTTTATTTATTTCTAGGAGAGAGAGAGAGAGAGAGAGACAGCGTGAGCAGGGGAGGGTCAGAGAGAGAGGGAGTCACAGACTGAAACAGGCTCCAGGCTCTGAGCTGGCAGTCAGCACAGAGCCCGATGCGGGGCTCGAACCCACGAACCGCGAGATCATGACCTAAGCGAAAGTTGGATGCTTAACCGACTAAGCCACCCAGGCGCCCCAAACTCATTCAATTTTAAAAGTCAGCCAACAGTTTTGGAATGACTGCTTCCTGTCAGGTTAGGGGGGAGGCTATTCAGATGACTCAAACCCTCTTCCTGTGTTCCAGTGATTTGTAACCTAATGGGATTAACAAGGAGAGAAGTATAAACATAGAAAAAGGATTAATTAACTTGAAATCGTATCAGAGAGAATGTCCCAGAAAAGTTGGAGGCATGTGAGTTAGGCTTTGAAAGATAAGTAGATGAAATAAGAGATAACAGAGGCAGGGAGAAGCGGGCTGCAGGGAGCATTCCAGATACACGGAAGGCACTAAAAACAGGCAGGCACACCCGCCCATGGGAGTCTCCCAAGCACATTTCTGGCTGCAGCTGTTCAAATCATTTCACTCTGCTCAAGTCCTTAACCCCATCCTCCACCACAGGATGCTCTACAACGCATCAAATGCTTTCCTGAAAAGATTCGAAGCCATCCAAGAAAATGTCCATCAGTTCTCTCTCCGTTACATCAAAACTCTCCAGCATCATCCATTTTACTTTTACCATCTTTCTGAGAAACGTGTTTGCTCCTTTCTCTGCATGCTCTTTTTCATCAGCAATCTTTTACCATGCTCACATGCCAGGGTACTGTGCCGGGTGCTGGGAATCAAGCAGAATTAAGACACTAGCTCTTACCCTGAGGACCTCACAGTCTTGTGGGGGACATATTGGGAACAAGAAAGTAAGAGAGAAGTAGAGGTAGACACTGGAACTGATAATAAACTTAAGACATTTTCAGGGTGCCTGGGTGGCTGGGTTGGTTGAGTTGCCTGACTTTTGATTTCGGCTTAGGTCATGATCCCAGGGTCATATGATCAAGTCCCACATTGTGCTCTGGGCTGGGTGTGGAGCCTGCTTGGGATTTTCTCTCTCGCTCTCCCTCTTACCCTTCTCCCCCACTGGAACCCATGCTCTCTCTCTTAAATCAATAAACAAACAAATAAATAAGCAAGCTTAAGACATTTTCAGTATTCAACTTTGCCCACTCATTTCTTTTTTTAAAAATATTTTTTAAATAATTTTAATGTTTTATTTATTTTTGAGAGAGAGCATAAGCAGGGGAGGGTCAGAGGGAGAGAGGGAGACACAGAATCCGAAGGCAGGCTCCAGGCTCTGAGCTGTCAGCACACAGCCCGACGCTGGGCTCAAACCCACGAACCATGAGATCATGACCTGAGCCAAAGTCGGATGCTTAACCGACTGAGCCACCCAGGCTCCCTGCCCACTCACTACTGCTGTGATCATTCTCATATCTTTAGGCCAACAGTTTTGGGCCCCCGTTTTCCTATTTCCAGCTGCGTGGCTGCCGTGTATTTCTGCCCTCTCCTGCCTACCCTACATAACAATATAAACTGGATGCCAAGTTAATATATTAATGTTAAACTCACATCAGCTGTTTTCCAGCTTAAGACCCCTCAGTGGCTCCCTGCCACCTCTGAATAATGACGAGATTCAGTCTATAGTCTTCACAGTGACTTCTGCTTTACCTTCCCAGTCTCATTTCCTATTTTGTCCACCTCCCATGCCTAGGGACTGTCAGATAACATCATCTCCCTTTCTTTAATATAGGGTACGCTTTCTTTGTACTCAAAGCCTTTGCCCCACTGCATTTTCCTACATACAAATTCCCTTTCCCCATCTCTCCACATAAACAATTCCCATTCATTCTTTTAAATCCAAAATCAATGTTAACTTCTCATGACACATTCCCTGTGAATTATACTCAGATTAATGGTCTCTTTTCTTTGCTCTCACCCATAGCATTTTTTTGCAGCATTTTTAAAATGTTTTTGGGTTTTTATTTATTTATTATTAAGACAGAGAAACAGAGCACAAGTCGGGGAGGGGCAGAGAGAGGGAGACACAGAATCTGAAGCAGGCTCCAGGCTCTGAGCTATCAGCACAGAGCCCAAACTGGGGCTTGAGCCCATGAACTGCGAGATCATGACCTGAGCTGAAGTCAGACGCCCAACCGACTAAGCCACCCAGGCACCCCTTTTTGCAGCATTTTTATGTGAGGAGAAATCGTGAAGGACTTGGGTCTCATAGGTTGTTGGATCCCCTTCCTATAATGCTGGGTGTTGTCCAGGAGATCTTTGAGGGCATTCTGGTTTTCTATGTGTTTGTTGCCCTTAATAGCCTTTGGCTAGGCTATTTTGCAACTCTGCAATCCTTTCCTGAATACACATTCTCTGAAAACATACTCCGTGCTTGGCACTGTGCTAGAGATGATACCAATTCAAAGACAATTGTTTTATGAAGGTGTTGAGGACCAGGACGTGCCATCCCAAAATATGCCACTTGGCATGTGCCTAAGAATTCATTTCAAATGCTGAAGGCATTTGAGTTCCTGAAGTTCCTTATCAGACCTAAAAGTGGAGCATCTCAAAAGAATCTGTCATAAATCCCCTCCAGAGAGCAACTCTAATCTCTTCTAGGAGACCAGAAATCTGGCACCACACCCCACACCCAGACAGAGGCCACAAACTAGCAGATCTCCCATCCGTTCCTTAAAGGGCCCATTTCCTTTCCTCAGAATTCATTCGTTTTTCCCTAATTACCCTCTCTCCTCTTCCCTCTCCCCCACAAAATTAGGCATATGGCCTGAATTCTAGCCACCCCTTGAGGTTGCTCATCTGTGGGT